TTTTTCCTCCTTTGTTTTGTTTTGCTTTTGTCGTTTTTAACGAATTCGTTAGCCGAGTTTTTTTTTTTTTTTTTTTTTTTTTTTTGTAAAATGTTCAATTAAATGTATAATAAACTTCCTAGTCACCACCGGAAGTAAAGATAGATAACTAGGGACACTTTTTTTGTATGATTTAAAAAAAAAAAAAAAACATTTTCCTATCGCTCGAAGGAGTGAAATTGGGACGTGGCAGAGGAGAGGGGGGCGTGAATGCTTGTGTTTGACCGAATTGTGTTTGTAATCGTCGTAAATGTTTAGACAAAATAATTTTTTTTTTTTTCTACTGACACGACGGAAAATAAAAAAAACTTTTTCGTCTCTCCTCGACTTTCGTTTACGTAATAAACGTTCGTTATTTCTTTTTAACGACATCAAAAAAGAAAATTAAAAATTTTGTCACTCGTCGACTAATTTTTATTCTTTGATTATGATCGTTTAACCGTGAAAAAAAAAAAATGGTCGTGTCAATAGAGTGTTAAATATGCGTCGGATTTATTATTATTATTATTATTATTATTATTATTATTATTATTATTATTATTATTATTATTAATCTTTTATTAAAAATCTTTTTTTTTTTTTTACGCGTTCGTTAAATTAACTGACAGTAATTGTTTACTCGATTATTATTATTATTATTATTATTAATTAAAAAAGTTTGACATTTTTTTTTTATGGTACCGACAACGGTTTTGTCGCCAAAAAAAATGAAAAAAAATTTTTTTTTTTTTGTCGCCATTTGTAAATGAAAAAAGAATTCAAGAAAAAAAAAAAAGAAGAAGAAGAAGAAGAAAAGAATCAAACTTTTTGACCTTTTGAGTGAAATTAAATTAAAACATTTATTTATTGAACGTGGCAATAGATAAGTTTTATATATATGTGTATAACTTTTTATATTTTTTTTTTTCGACAACTTTCTTCTTACAAACAAACAAACGAAAACGAATGAAAAAAAAATTGTAAAAAATCTAATCTTTTGTTTGACTGGGTCGTGGAATTAACTTTTAACTTTTTCTTCTTCTTCCTTCCTTCCTTCCTTCCTTTTTTCGCTTCTTCTGTAAAAAAAAAAAAAAAAAAAAAAAAAATGTATTTTTCTAGAAATTTCTTTATTCTCGTATAAATTTTTTTAACCTTTGATTTTCCGTTACTCCCCTTTTCCCTTCTCACTCCTCCCTTACCACGTCACTCACTCACACTCACACACTCGTTCTTCTCCTGAAACCTGAACCGGTTTTACTTCTGAACTTTTTTTTTTTCTTTTTAAATTGAAAACTAATCACGTGATAATGACAAGAATTTGCCATATTTTTGACCCCGTTTTTTTTATATTTTATAATCAGATTTTCCAAAATGATTTTCATAATCATCATCAATACTTTATTCGATTCGTCAACTTCCGCTCCGTAGAAATTAATAGAAATGGAAAAACAAAATGGCCGCCGTAGAAAGCAAAAAAAATTTTTTTTTAAATCGACGTTTGTAAAGTAATAATAAACTGCAAAAAAATATTTTCAATTTCATTTAAATCATTTTGCTACCGTTTAAAAGAAATTTTTTTTTTTAAAAAACTCATTACGATTTTATGATTATTAATAATATTAATAATAATAATAATGATAATAATAATGATAAACCGACACCGACACGGTCACGCCTAATCAAATTTAAGCGAGAAAGAGAAAAAAAAAGAAAAATTTACTCGTTAAAAATTTTAAATTTATGTTAATGTATACGAAAATAATTTTTTTTTGCGGTCCGTAAAATAATAAATCGATGAAAACCGCGAGATTTTTAATCATTAAAATGATAATAATAATGATGATAATGATGATAACGTGAATTTCGATTGAGAAATTTTAATTTAATTTTTTTTTTTTTGCTAGAAATTATTAAAAACGCGTGTTTTGTTGCGTTGCGTTATAGCTACCACGTTTAAAAAAAAAAAATCATGTTTCGACCGTAACCGTGAAAAATAATAATAATAATAATCAGGTTGGAAAAATATATATATTAATTTAAACGTTTTTTGATAAAATTATATTAATTGGATTTTTTCTATTTTTTTTTGCTACGGTTAAACCGATGAATGAGTATTTGGAAATTTTTTTCTTTTTTTTTTGGCCGTGTAAAAAAAAAAATTCGAATAAGCGAGTGATTATGTGTAATTTAATGCGGATGCGTTTAATAAGGCGGTGGCGGCGTCGACGACGACGTCGGCGTGAAATTAATAATAATAATAATAATAATAATAATAATAATAATAATAATAATGTTTGATAAAATGCGTGGTATTAGAAATTTAATTGAAATTTTTTTTTTTTTTTTGCGCTCGCGCGAGCATCCGGTTCGGCGGTCATCGTCGTATGTTTACCCGTTTTTTTTATTATTTTCTTTGTTTAAAAGTCAGTAAAGTTCGATCGATTAATCGATTTTCAAAAATTTCGTGAAGGGGAGGGGGGTGTGGAAAAAAATAAAAATTTCAAAACGATTTCCATCATAAATTTTTCTCTCTTTCTCTCTCTCTCTCTTGCTTTTTTTAATTGATAGAAACGAGAAAAGGGCAAAAAAAAAATTTCCATTTGAATTTTTTTTTTTTTTTTTATTAATTTTTTGTTTTGACGTGGAATTAGAATAATTTTTTTTTTTTTGTTGAAAATTCTTTTCCGACGTGTGAAATGTTCTGACATTTATTTAATTCGATTGTAAAATTTTCTAAAAGTATTTAGAGTTTGATCATTAGCGTTATCTATCGTTTTTTTCCCGAACTAAATTAAATTTAAATCGGAAAAAAAAAATTTCAAATTTTTAAATTTTATTTCTATTTATTATTATTATTATTATTATTTTTTTTTTTTTGCGAAAATTACGAATTCAATTTCATATTCGTGGTTTATTATTATCATCATTATTATTATTATTATACGTTTAAAAAAACGGTTCCGAGAGTACCTGCGGTTGGATTCGAAAAAGTTTTCATTTATAAATTTTAAATGACTCCCCATTTATTGAATGGAATTTTTTTTTTTTAAATGAATGAATTATCATCATTATTTTTCACATGTTATTTTACTAATAAAATATAACAAGGATTATTATTATTATTAATATTATTATTATTATTGAAAAAGGGACATTAATGTAAATCGCCTTAACGTTAATGAGGAGGAAGAAATTAAAAAAAAAAAAAAAAGAAAAAAAAAGGCGATTGGGATCGGTTGCAAACTTCCCTCTATTCTCCCATCCTCTAGCCCCCATTTTCCGATTCCCCCCACTTTTTCCCGAACAGTTTATTATTATCTCGAATCCGGTTTTTAAAAAGGTCATTTCCGTTTTTAGGTAATATATATAGATAGGTAGGAAAGGATTTATGTGGCTCGTGGAAAAAAAAAAAAAAAAAAAATTGGCATTGCGTTGTACAACGGGGGTAGAGTACCCCTCGAGGGGGAAGTGTGGGGAGAGAAGAGGGGAGGAGGAGAGATATTCGCAATTCGCTTAATTTTTTTTTTTTTTTTTTTTTTGATTACCTAATAATTATTATATTTTTACCTTCGAGTTATCAATTTTAATCGGATTAAAAATAAATAAAAATATATATTTATTTATTTACGAGTTATTGAGAAATTTAAATCTCTCTCTCTCTTTCTTTCATCTGTCTCTCTCTCTCACACACATGTGCAAAAAATTTGCAAAAAAAATTCCATTTTGTTTAGCGATTGCAGGAACTTTATCATAATTATTTTATTTTATTTTTTTTGCGAAACTTATGCAACGGAATAAATTAATTTTTTACCTCCCGCCCGTACACCCACCCACCTTCCCCCCATTCCCCCCTTTTCTCCTACCCTTTTAAGTTAAAATTGACTGTGGCAAAATTTCAATTCGAGTTTGAAATTTTACAAAATTGCAACAGCAAAAAAACGACTTTGATGCAACAAAACGATTTCGAAATCAAAGTCAAAGTTCGACTAATACGACGACGATAATAATAATAATAATGATAATAATGAATCCGACTGTGGTGGGGTCGGTACCGAAGTTAAAAACCATCGGGTGATAATGATCACTTGGGAAAACCTAAGAACCAACATGGGACAACCAAACCAAACGAAAACGATTTTTTTTCTTCTGCTGATCTCAAACAACAGCAAAAAGTTAAAATTTTCACACGTTTTGATCACCCGATTACGTCACAGTTGTTGTCGTCACCAATTTAGGGATGAGACAGGAAGACCCACCTTGATGTGGTGCTATTTAGTACGAAGGAGGAGGCATTTATTCCTGAGGGATTTGGATAAAAACCTGGAAAATTTATTGGAAAAACTTTGGAAAAAATTGTCGCCGTCTTTATTAAAATGTTTGATAGTAATAATAATAATAATAATAATAAAATTTACACTTTATTTATTTATTACTACGATATATTAAAAATTTACAATTTGAAAATAATAAAATAATAATAATAATAATAATGACGATGATGATGATAACAACGATGACACACCAATGTGAAATAATGGAAATTAAAAAACAAAAAAGAAAAAAAAACGTGGCAGTAGATTTGTGTGTTTTAAAATTACCACCACGTGGTGGTATAAGACTAGGTCGTTTCATATACACACACACACACACACCACATCCGTTTTTTTAAATTTATTTATTACGTAATAAATTATTTTTTAAAAAAAATTTTCTTAATAATAATATTTATTAAGTAATTAATAATTATTTATTTATTAATTAATAATTTACGAATTGAAAATGAAATACAGAACATTCCCCCAAATGATTTACTTATATAAATATATATGTATATGAAAAAGAAAAGAAAAAAAAAATTGTCGTCTGCTTTTTTCCATAGAGTATATATACATGTTTATAATGTTAATGAATTGTCGATGTGATAACAGGACAACAGGCAATTGATAAGAAAGAGAGAGAGAGGGAGAGAGAGGGAGAGATTATTAAAAATTTCCACATTCGTTTTTGGCAATGACGACTTCGGCACCACCGAAAATTCTCATCGGTGTTTCCGACCACGATATAACGATGTGATTTCTATCGGATACCGGGGATCCCCTATTGTTCGTACACAAACCGTAGGCTCTCATAATCAATTCGGTACCGGAAGTGACGTCGAATTTTTTACCAGCCGATTGAATGGGAGTCGCACTCGTGGTCGTCATTTCGTAGCCTCCCATCGAAATTTCTCCTTCTCCTTCTTCTTGTTCTTCTTCTTCTTCTTGTTCTTGGTTTCCGTAATTTCTTTCGGATAATTTTTGCTGGGGATCAACATCGAAGAAATCCGTTTCCGAAGGAGTCGGAGGTAATTTGATGAATGGTACTTCGGGTACGTGTTCGGGAGCGATGGGTTGAAAATGTACCGGAGGTGTTTGGGGTAGGTAGGGTGGATTTAATATTTGCGAAGTTTGAAGTGGTACGAGAGGAACAACCGCAACCGGGATTTGATAAAGTTGGTGGGAAATTACTTTTGGTTTTTCCGTCGCCGTCGCCGCCGTCGGGTTAGATCGAGTTATTGGTTTCGACGTTGATGATGATAATAGTGACCCTACTGCTGGTGCTGGTGCTGTTGTCGATACTTTCGATAAAAATACTACGTTCGAATTTTCCGTCGCCGTTACATTTGTAGGAAAAAATTCATCAATTTTTTCTTGGATCTCCATTTTCGAACCATTTTTAATAAATACGTTAATGAAACTATCCGGAATGTCCGGAAGATGTCTGAAACCTTCCGTTAATACCGAATCCCCTGAAATTTTAAAAAGAAATTATTATCATCATCGTCGTAATGTCCTGTCAAAACAAACACAAAAAATTTTCATTTACCGGGATTTCGTTTTTGTCTGAGCAAAACAACTTCCGTTTCGTAAACGGGTATCGGATCCGAAGGTTTTCTTTCCGTTCTTTTTGTCGTTTCGTCATGAGATGTCGACACCGTCAACGTCGGTGTTTCCTTATCGAAAATTATATTCTTTTTCTGTCTTTCATCCACGTAGGGATTTATTTCGAAATGATATTTTGGCTTTTTCGAATCTCTCACGGCATTCGACAGAGTGTAGACTTTGTTGGCTTCTCTCGCCGTGAACAAATCGAAATTTTTACGAGCTTTCCTTTCCAAAGCCAAGGGTCCGGATTCGTTTTCCGTCGGCTTCATCGCCTCATCATCTTCGACGCTTTCGTATATTTCATAATTGGTACTTTTCTTACCGTCTTTTCCCAGTCTGTAACTGTGTATGGAATAATTTTCATCGTAGATTTGTTTTTTACGCGCGTCGTTATCGATGACGTCACCGTCCGTCGCGGTTTCCACGATTATTTCTTCTTCTGTCGATGTTTCGCCGTCGATGACATCGTCGAAATTTTCATTTTCAATTCCGATGGTTTCGTTTTTTCCCAATTCGATTTTTAAATTTTTACTTTCTCTATTGTTACCATACATGATGACTTTTCTGGATGGTGGAAAACGATGTCTAGGGGGTCCTCTGTAACGTTTCGGTCCTACCATAGGATCTCTCGTTCTTTTAGATCCGTGACGATTATCACCTGAATTTTATATTATCGGATTAATAAATAAATCGATGGGAATTTAAAAAATTTTTTTTTAGGCGTTCGTATAACTTACCTCTTTCTCTACTTCCGTCGCCATTTTTTACTTTTTCCGGTGGATGATTCGGTAATTTCGAAATGTAAGCTTTTATCTGTTGGTAATTTTTTTTCATGAGCGGTAATTTTTTAAATGGTAAAACGGATGATCTGATGATATCTGTAAAAATAAAACGTTTTCGTTTTATTATTATTATTATTATTGTTTTTCTCTTTTTAAAAAGAAAAAGAAAAACTTACTCGGTTTATATTGGGAATTGATAAAATTTCCCTGTTCTCCAGGTACGGATTCGTCGACTAAATTAAAACCGAAAATTTCACCGGTTATACCTTCGTATTCGACGACGGCATTTTTTTCCGAATTTATATTATATTCTTGTCCCAAAACGACGTCACCCTTTTCTGGAATGTAAGTTTCTTTGTACTGGAACAAAAAATTGAAAATGTTTAGCGTCTCGTGAACTGGAGAAACGTCGTTTTGGATTGGAAAATTTTGTTTGTTTGTTACCATGGGTAATATTCCACGTCCGATTCTTTTACCATCTAAAAATATTTGCCATTCTCCTAAGAGACCGTTCCAGGATTGACAAATGTGATGCCATTTATTTTTCCTTATGTGTCCTGGAACTTTATAAACTAAATTTTCTCTTATAGCCATACGTAGAGTCGAATCGTTTGAATTTATCCAAAATTTCAATAGGTTTTCCTTTTTGTTCACTGCGTTAAAAAAAAAAAAATCATTATTATCATCACCATCATCGTTAAAGATTTAAAAAAATAAATAAATAAAAATACTGGAACTTACTGGAATACGAGAATAAAACGTGATTGTGTGATAAATCCAGGGGTTTATACCACATGCAAAAAGTATATTCTTCGAGTCTCGGAATTTCTTTTATATACTTAACATATTGCCTGGAATTTTTCTCGTTGAATATTATTTTATACAATGTCGGAAAATCGTTTTGTCCGTTTGTTTTTTTTCCATTCGATAAATTTTTCCATTTGTCATTTTTACCGTGCCCGACCTGGAGTTTACCACCGTAACCATCATCCGAAGGATTCCAACTTCTTTTACTTATGTACAATGATTTTTTAGATAAACCTTATTAAAGTGAAAAAAAAATTATTATTATTATTATCATCATCATTATCATCATCATCATCATCATCATCATTATTATTATTATTATTGTACTCACCCGTTTTTTCCGGTTTAATTTTTTGTGGAGGTTCGAAATTTGTACCCTCGTAAACTCTTATTCCATCCGTTAATGTTATCAAAACGGAAACTAATATGAAAAATTGCCATAGAAATTTTCCATTTATACTATTATTATTATTACTAATATTAATATTTATATTATTATTATTATTATTTCCTTTTTTCGACTTCATTTTCTTTTAAATTATTTTCCTGAAAACAAACAAACAAATAAAAAAAAAACATCAAAGTTTTAGTTATTATTACTATTTTTAATATTAATATTTTCTTAATAAAACGAGATTTAGAGTTTTGTGAATGGGGGGAGGGGAGGGAAGGGAAAGAGGAAGAGAAAATTTCTTTTCGAAATCCCCCTCCCCCGGAGGAAATGTTTTGAATTGAATTTTTCAAAATGAAAAAAAAAAAAATTTTTTTTTGGAATGTTTTTTTTTTTCTTGCGACGACTTATTCACTTTTCCCGGTGTTTTCAGGTTTTAAAAAAAATTTTGTCGTCTGCTTGACGTCACGTGACGTTCCATTTTTTAAATTATTTTTCGTAAATGACGGGGATTTAAACGAAACGAAGGGATTTCGATTTTATCGATCCGAAAATAAATTTTTTTTTTTTTATAAACGGGAAATTCTCCTCCGACATCGAAAATCCTCTCATTTCCTTTTCTTCGATTTCGTTATTATTATTATTATTATCATCATCATCATCATCATGGTAATTATAATTAGGGTATTAATTCTTTGACAAGGTGCGGATTTAATAACCGACCCAATTATATTTTAATTTGCGTGCGTACGTGCGTGCGTGCAAACCGATAAAATTGTTTTCTTTTCGGGGGATTATTTGGTAATAAAATCGTTGCAAAATCCCCCGTTTTTTATTTCGTTACATTTTTATTAATTTTATCAAACTTAAAATTAAAGAAAAATAATAATAATGATGATGATGATAATGATAATGATAATAATAATAAGAGGGCGATCGAATTTCGTCGTTTCGAAATTTCTTAACGTTAAATATAAGATTTTTCGACGTTTAAGTTTTTACGCGCGAGTGTGTGTGTGTGTGTGTGTGTGTGTGTGGATTTGAGGGGGGTGGGGAGAAGGAGGTAAAGAGGAAAGAGACGGCCATGTTTTTTAAAAAAAAAGAAAAAAAAATTACCGCCCTTTTTTGTGGTATTTATAATAAATTACGTAATGATAATTCCTTTTGACGTATTACGTTCGAAATCGTGTGTGTGTGAAAACAAAAAAAACAAGGCGGATTCTAGTTTAATGGGGAGGATTTTTTTTATCCCTCCCCCATTTATCTTTCTCTCTCTCTCTTATGTAATATTGTTTTTTTTACGATGATTGAAATGAATTAAATTGAATTGCCACGTTGGATTAAAAGAAGGAAAACAAAAAACGAACAAGTTTCAAATTTAAATCGTCGTTAAAAAAACGAACGTGAACGTTGTGATTCGTTCACGTCAAAATGAATTCGATAAAAATAGAAAAGGATATAGAAAAAGGAAATAGACAAAGGAAAAGGAAAAAGGAAAATGGAAAAAAAAGAATTACCGAAAGTAATTCAATTCCTTTTTTTTTTCTCTTTTTTTTCCTGTGTAAATTAATTATTTAACACATATTTTAAAATGAGAGAGAAAGAGAAAGATAAATAAAGAAAGAGATAGAGAAAGAGAGGAAAAGAGAGAGAGAGAGAGAGAAAGGAAATAAATGAAATGATGATTTGTCGAAATTGCAAAGTATCGACAAATTATCGATTTTTTTTCTCCAAAATTTTAAATTCAACGGAAATATTTGGGGGGAAAAGACATCGTCATCATCATCATCATCGATGTTTTGTTTGTTGCCTAACTATTTATTTTATAAATTTGTGTATTTATTTATTGTTATTATTATTTTTTTTCCGGTCGATCGATAATTTAAATTAAAAAAAAAAAAAAAAACGATATCTCGAACAAAACGGAAATACGTAAGAGGTTTATTGTTTTTTTTTTTTTTAAAAACCTTTTACCAGTGAATTATTTTTTTTTTGCGAATGATTATTATTATCATTATTATAAAAAAAAGGAAATTTTCCTTTTCTTTTTTTTTAAATTCGATTAAAAACCGAAAAAGGAAAAAAAAGGAAAAAATGATTGTTAATATGTTGCGTTCGTACCTCTTTCAATGGAAAATTTTTTTTTTTTTTTACCAATTTTACTTTTAGCGATCCTTGACCCGGGGTTTGACGTAAAAATAAATTTCTTTTTTTTTTTTTTTTATTAATAACGAATGAAAAGTTTTAAGGGGAGCAAAAACCTTGACTTGAACGTTATTAATATTTCCCCCACTTGCCATCCCCCCAAAAAAAAAAAAAATTAAAAATTTTGTTTGTACCCCCGCCGGCGTTAAATGTTTTTATATTTTAAAGGTTTTTTAAAATTTTAAATACCGTTTTGCATTTCTCTCTCTATCTCTCTCTCTCTCTTTCTCTCTCTCTCTCTCTCTCTCTCTCTCTCTTTCTTATTTCTCTCTTTTTTCTTCTCTCTCTTTTATCCGTCTTAATCAATTTTTCCCTCTCTGTATCATTTTCCCTTTTTTTCCTTTCTCTCTCACTTTTACTTTCTGTCTTTTTATTTTGTTTTCTATAAATTTATATATTTATCTTTTCTTATCTTTCTTTTTATAAGTATCTCTTTCTCTGTCTTTCTTTCCTTGAGTATCTCTTTTCTTCTCTCTTCTCTCTCCCTTTCTCTATTCTTCTGTATATCTCTCTCTGTTTTCCCTCTCGTTTTTCTCTTTCTGTTTCTCTCTCTCTCTCTCTTTGTTTTTTCTCTTTGTGTCTCTTCGTTTTCTCTTTCTGCTCTCTGTCTTTTTCTTTTTCTCTTTCTGTTTCTCTCTCTCTTTTTGTTTTTTCTCCTTCTGCTTCTCTTTCTCTCTGTTTTTTTTCTTTCTGTTTTTCTTTCTCTCTTTGTTCTCTCTCTTCGTTTTCTCTTTCTTCATTTCTCACACGCAGAATCAATTTTTTTCTTTTTATCGTGATTTTAGAAAGTTTTTTCTCTTTTTTTTCTGAGAGGGAGGGGGTAAATTTATTTCCCACCAAATTTTAAATTAATTAACGTCTTATTAATATTATTATTATTATTATTTTACGATTTGAAATGATTCTCGTTCGAATCACTTCCCTTCCCCCCGTTTTTTTAAAAAAAAAAGTAATCTAATCTATTAACCCAGTTAATACTACTACTACTATAAATAATAATAATATTGTTTTTACAAAAAAAAAAAAAAAAAATTTCGTTTTGTGTTTGACGTCATTTAAAGGTAAAATAATTATGCCATCAGATGTTGAAGTTGATTTAATGCCGGAGGAAAGTTCTAGATCAATATACATATTTGTTTGTTTATATCAAAAGACGAGGGAAATTAAGAGAAAGGATAATAATAAAAAAAAAGAAATTAACGATACTGGTTGGTAGTAGTGGGGTGGCGGTGGTGGTGGTAGTAGTACTAGCAGCAATAACATTATCCTTATTTTTCAAAAATTATTATAAATTTCTCTCCCCTCCCCTCTCCTCCTCCCCCCCAAAAAAAAATTAATTTCACCATTAAAATATTGGTCAAATTTGTTGCTCTCGTTTGTTGGCTTATTGTTTGTTGTCCCTCTGGCGCGAAAAAAAAATTATTTAAAAAAAAAAAAAATTCTTAAGGCAACAAGTCGAATTTTAATCGTTGTTGCCGTCGCCGATCGCGTATTGTATTGTGAAAGTACGTTCAGGTTCGCACTAAAAAGTATTTTTTTTTTTTATAATGTGAAAATTCTAAAAAAAATTTTAATAATTAAAATGTCGAGTTGAAATTAATTACACATTTTTTTTTTAAAACCGGAAACGATAAAAGAGTTAATGAATCCTCCTTCCCCCCCTTTTTTTTTTAAATATTAAAATTCATCAAGTTTCATGTTTTTGAAAATTTACTTCATTATTTTTTTATTTCTGTTCGGAATTTTTTCCTTTCCTTTCCTTTAACCGCATTTCCGTTTTCAACTCCCCGCTCTGTCCTCCCCGCCCACACCCTCTCTTTGGTCTTTACTCTTTTTACCTTTTTTTAAACAATTAACTTTTCGACTTTGTAAAAATAATAAATAAATCAACGTTTAAACTAACTTTAAAATTGTTTTTTTTTTTTTTTAATATAATCAATCAAATTCAACTTCGTTCAATTAACTGTAAAAAAAAACATCTTTGTTTTGTTCAGTAAAGTATTATTATTATTATTATTATTTTTTGTTCAGAAATCTCATTAGAGTTAACCACACACACACACACACACAGAAGATTAACCTGAAAGAATGATGATAAAAGAAAGATAAATGCCGGTTAAGATTTACTTTTTCTTCTTTTTCTTTCCCTCCCCTTCCTTTCCTTTCCTCTACAAAAAAAATCCTTTTTCCAAAAAATAAATAAATAAATAAATTCTTTTGTTGCTTTTTTTCTTCTGAAAAATCGAAAGGTTTGAAAAAGGTTTAGGAAAAAAAAGGAGTGAGGGATTCGATTGTGGATATTAAGAAAAATGATGAGTTTAAAAATTTGTCTGTTGCGGCTGTTGTTGTTGTTGTTATTGTTTTTCAATTCTCACCCCCTGCCCCCTGCCTTCCTCGTGAAAGATTGTTTTTGAACACGTCGATCGTCATCATTACTACTCGCATTTATCATTCGTTTGTTTGTTTGTTTCGATTTGTTTTTTTTTTTTCGCTAGAGTGTGAGTCCATCGATCGATCGATTGAGTTTTTTATTATTTTTTTTTAAATTTCCATCGCGTTTATTATTATTATTATTATTATTATTAACCGGAGATGATGATGATGATCGCTTTCCTTTCCCTCCTTCCTTCCTCCCCCTTTCTCCCCACTCTCCTCCTCTTCCTCTTTTCCTCTCACTTATTCTCATTTAAACGAGAGAAACGATTTGAATCCGTTTGAAAAAAATTTTTATTTCATTTGTTTTCTCCTTTGATTTCATCACGTCGTCATGACGTAAATTTTAATTATTAATTAATTTATTTATTAATAATAACTTATGTACGATTGTTTTGTGTGTGTGTTGTCGATATTGCTTCAAGGTGGAAATGACGTCATGAAATCGTTTTAAATCCCAATATTGAAATTTCGTATTTAAACGATTTAAATTTTCAC